ATTACATCCTTATGTACACCTCTACCCCGATATAACGTGACCTGATATAACACAAATTCGGATATAACGTGGTAAAGCAGTGCTCGGGGGGCGGGGGGGGCTGCGCACTCCGGTGGATCAAAGCAAGTTCGATATAACGCGGTTTCACCTATAACACAGTAAGATTTTTTGGCTCCCAAGGACAGCGTTATATCGGGGTAGAGGTGTACTTAGTAAATTCCCCTTTTGCTTTAACTAGACATGGTATTCTTAGTCACATTCAGCTCCTAAATCGTGGTCTAATGTTGCTGGTACCATTATGCTGGCTGTCATGTTGCACTCCAGAGGTGGCTGCAGTTTGTTAATCTGTAAAGCTCTTTGAGGCTTGCAAAAAAAACAGTGTATATCTCAAACAAATAACCGCTCACAGATGTCACTTTCCGTGAATAGCTAATGTATCTGCCTAACAGTTGAATGAGACAACACTAGGTTACTGTTTGAATTCCTGTGAACTTTCTTCCTAAACTTAGCAAAGCACTTTGGATTCTAGTATACTAGAATTTCAGTATGATCACTTAAATTTTTTTTTTAAGATTTAGGTACTAATAAAGAGCTGTGGAAAATATAAATCAAATTCCAATGATCTGACTGAGCTGATACAAAGTGAAAGATGTACCAGCAGCTTTCTGGTGGCTCCCATCATTGTATGCACAAATTACATTTTAATTAAAAAATAACCAAAACATTAAGTTTTTAGCCCTTAGGTTTGTGAAGAACCTTCCAAATGTGACCATATAATGAGCTGTCTCATATTGAGTCTGCAAATAGACAGAAACAATGGGCCAGATTCCACCAGCAAAAATCAGGGCCCTCAGTGGCAAGTTAGACCTACCTATGCAAGCAGAAGTAAATCTAGCCCAAAATCTTTTAGAGGTTTGAACTGCCCTCATCCATAACAAATGAACATTAGGACTCAGTCAACACTTAACAGTGCACATGTCAACGCTGTTAAGTTCTTAACTACTGGCAATTTTTGAAGCAATATTCAAGTACTTTCAGTGGAGTTGGGGTTTTGCAGCAGAACTTCAACAGAGCTGGACTTCCGTCAGTCTCCCAATATTTGATCCATAAAGAATACCCAGCTTGCTAATCCTCTAATCAGTTTTTTTAATCAAGATTGGGTGTCTTTCTGAAAGATATGTTGTAGCTCTAACAGAAGTAATGGGTGACATGGCCGAAATTATTGGGTGAAGTTCTCTGGCCTGTGTTACGATCATCTAGTCCAGTGGTTCCCAAAGTGGAGTTCGCGAACCCCTGGGGGTTCGCAGAACGTTTCAGGGGCTTCGAAAGAAAAATGTCTTTAATGGAGGCCAGAGGACTCTGCTGGGACCCAGTTGCAGGGCAGACAGCCCGAGCCCCAGGGAGAGCGGGGCCGGGCAGTTTGAGCAGGCAGCCCGAGCCCTCCCCTGTCAGCCAGGGAGCCGGCAGCCCGAGCCTCGTGGAGAGCGGGCAGTTTGAGTCGGCAGCCCGAGCCCTCCCCTGTCAGCGGGGGAGCCGGCAGCCCGAGCCCCAGGAAGAGCGGGGCCGGGCAGTTTGATCCAGCAGCCCGAGCCCTCCCCTCTCAGCCAGGGAGCCGGCAGCCCGAGCCTTGGGGAGAGCGGGCAGTTTGAGTCGGCAGCCCCAGCCCTCCCCTGTCAGCGGGGGAGCCGGCAGCCCGAGCCCCAGGGAGAGCGGGGCCAGGCAGTTGGGGCAGGCAGCCCGAGTCTCGGCGGTCAGTGGGGGAGCCGGCAGCCTGAACCCCAGCGCTCTGCGCGGGGCTGGCAGCCCAAGCCCCAGGGAGAGCGCGGCCGGGCAGTAGGGGCTGGCAGCCCGAGCCCTGCCCCCGTCAGCAGGGGAGCCAGCAGCCCGAACCCCAGCCCGAGCCCCAGGAATTTGCCAAATCTCATCTAAAGCCAGAACCACAGGCCTCCTTGTTACCACCAGCCACAACCTCACCTGCAGCAACTGGTGCTTACATTCAAGGCATCCAGGCAGCTCTGTTCCTAACAGGGCATTAGCTGTTGGTGAGTATCTCGACCCTTGCACTCAGGTCTAGACAGTGACTTCCAAAGAGTTTGTTTTAAGTGTGTTCGTCATTTTTAGGGTCTCCTGTTAGTGATGTATCTTATGTAGCTTTCAATATTGATTTAAAGCATTTCAGTCCATCTCTGCACTCCCTAGAAGTTCAGCGATGGTTTAGAGAGCAGATGCACAACTCAGTCTTAATCTGGACTCCCAATGTGTATTTTGCCCAAGCTGCATGAGGAGTCAGGGATTGCAACCTTTGTCCTCATCTGAACTCTGAAAAATGGTGAGCAATAACTTTTATGTGGTCCTAGCCCTTCCTCTGTATGAAAAAAACAAGGTATATATTGTCTTTATCTGACCCACAACATTTTATCTGCTAGAAAAGCAACAGTCTAGCTATATAAGGATTAAACAGTCAAATGAAGCATGACAGAATAAGGGCAAAATTGCTTTTTGACTCTTCAGTATGAACATATATTATAGGGCTTCACATTCATTTATTCTACACACATTGGCTACATGTACTTCAATGTCATCTGAGGGGAGTAGAACTCAGGATCTTCTGTTTAAAACCTAGAATAACCCTACACTTGGTCAAAAAGAGAATTTATTAGAGACTTGTCTGTCCTTCAGAAGGCCAGTCTCTAGACAGTCACATCATCACCAATCCCAGAGCAGGCCTCACATTCCCTCAGTCGAGGGCAGTGGAACATAGCCAGGGCAGAACTTGTGCTGTTTAACATTCAGCCCACTGCCCCTCCTAAATGCTGTATCAACATCCCTGACTCTGTCTGGTCTCTCTCTGCTGTTCCTTGCAAGGTATGGGCTCTGCTGTACATTTAGTTAGCTCAGATAACTTTCTGCCCAGCATAACCAAACTGCATCATCATGGCATCTAGTGATCAGGAACAGCATCGGGGCATTTCAACAACTGCTGCAGAAATTGAACCCTCTCCCTCACCCAGAATGAAAATGCCAACAGATTGGTCAGATTGCCCCAGGCTGCAGCCAAATCCAAAAATCTCCTGGAGTGCCATTAGCATTCAGTTGAAATGCATCCTTTCCTACTTTCCTTTGGTCACCCTGGCACCCTACAAGCCTCTCTTGAACCTGCCTGGGGGAAAGAAAGACAAGAAGGGTGAGTCAAATGGCACAAGCTGCAAAGAAGAACCCTACTCACTGTGGTAAATTGCGTTGAGGAACAGAAAACATAAGCAGGGGGAGCTGAAAGGGGAATAGAGAGAGAAAGGACCCATGGGAGAGACCACAGCAAATCTGTGAAGGAGTCTAAAAACAAGCAGGGCAGTTTTGAACTGGATCTTGAAATGAATTGGAGACCCTGAGATTGGTTGAGGCTGGGGATGATGCAGTTGTGTAGATAAGCTCTTTTGCCAGTGTGAAAAGGGGAGCAGCAGCCCTCTAAATATACTGTTGGAATTTCGGGTAGGCGACAGAGAAGGGCATAATAAGAGATGAGGTGAGAGGAGAGGAAATTATAACTAAGTTGCTAAGGCAGCAAAAGATATAAGCAGTGATACAGAGATGGCAATCGGTGCAGCAGAATTACAGAGAAGGAGAATCCAGAATCAACGGTAACACCAAGGGAAGGGAGGAGGGGAAGGGAAGTACCTGTGACTGATGCTTTCCAAAGCTCTCCACTGGGACAGCTCTAAAGCAAGGCTGGAAATTTAAATTCAAGATTTTTATCTTGAAGTCAAATAAAGACAAGCAAAGAAAGTGAAATGTAACTACCCCCGGCCTCGTGGGAGGTGGCAGAGAGCAGTGGCTGCAGGGATGATTGCATCTTAGTTTCACTCAGATATCACCAGGACTACTTGGCAAGACTCACAGCCAGCGCAGGCAGCCTGGGTGAAGTCATTCAGAAAGCCCCACTCCAGCCGACAGTGGAAATGCCACTTAATCTCTATGGCAGCATTACTGGAACCAATCAATGCCCAGGCCTCAGCTACCCCGACCCAACTTTTACCCTTAGAAATAAAATGCTGGTTTTCACTTGCATCAAACCAAAACGCTGCTTTCCACCCACACTCCCAATTCTGGCAGGGCAGAGGGAGATGGAGGGGAGAGAACAGCCTTCCAATGAGGCAGTCATGGGAGAGCAACAAAGTCTGGCAAATCACCTAGAGAATTCAATTTGATTCTCTGGAATAAAGGTTCATTCCTTTCGAGATGGTCTGAGTCTGAGATCATTTGTTTTAAAATTCAGCTCACCTGCCTTGCAGCTGTCATATTGCTCAGGCAACTCAATACCTGACACAGCCTTCTTCATGTTCAGTGGAGACTCGGAGAGAGGATGTCTTGTGTGGCTGAGGTTCAGGTAAGGGTTTGTGGTGTTCATGTTAAGGAACTAAACTAGAGTAGCTAATGCAATGTGATAACTTCCATTCCATTTATTAAACATTTCCATAAAACAACAATCGATAAACGTGAAATGTTTTCCCAGTTGGGACAGTTAATGCAATCGAGCGAAATCTTACTCAGAGATGGGTCTGAACAAAACCCAACCCCTGATCCAAACACTTTCCAGAGTTTGGATACGGAGCCTGAAATAAACTGGCCTAGTAAAAAATTGCCAAGAGACCAAGCCAAGTCCCCTGAACATTGGGAGATTCTGTATTCAGATTCAGCTGCAAACTTCATGGCCTCTGTCTATAATGGGCAGAACCAAAACCGTGGATCCAAAGCCCCGTAAACACTGAGAACATTCAGCTCTGTAGCCCGATTTTGTAACTATTCAGATTGTCACTTTGGGATCATTCCGCTGAAGTGGCAGCTTATTTTGCCACTTGTTGCTCATTCGTTTGACACAGGAGGCATAGATTGCCGTTAAAGACCCATTACCTCCCCATCATAATTAAACCATCCACACTGATCACTGAACAATTTATTTTGAAATTTTGAAATTATGACTTCTAATTTTTAATCTTGAGCAGGAAGAGCGGCCTGCAGGGCTGGATGTGGGCATCCTTTGAAAAACGATTAGCCTGCCTTTGCCATGAGTGCATCGAGCCCACAGCAATAGAGATTGAAGGAGGTGGAGGGAGTCTTGTTGGACCAGATAAGTCAGCACTATTTTCCATTCTGCTGCTGCTGGCCAGGGCAGGTGTTGTCTCTTTCCCTTCTGCAGAGCTCCCTGGTCACTGTGACAAAGGGAGCCAAGCTGAAAGCTTGCTGGCTGAACTGAACTGTCAAGGCAGAACTGTGCCGTGAACTTTCAGGGTGGGATCAGGATGGGGGTGGGGAGCTGAACCCTATAGATGTCTGAGGTTACAGAAGCCCTTAAAAACTCTCTGCCACAGGTCTCACCCTCCCCTTTGAAACTGCCTTTTTCAGGCTTCCAAGCCCCCATCACAAAAGCTCATCTCACTCCTTGCTTTACCAGCCACCTTTTCACTTTTACAGTCAGAGACATTTGGCAAAAACATCTGCTCTGGCTCTTCCCCAGTTGAGCACAGTATATGGTTCATCTGTTAAAACACAGCCTATTATGCAAACAGAGATGGGGCCAAATGAAATCTATATATCCAAGCCTTGTCCCAGCCTGTGAACTTTGGGAAAGTTCAGATCTGGAGCTGGTCAGTCTCTACAATGAGCTGAGCCAAAGCTTTTCATCTGAACTCTCCTGAATTTTGAGTGTATTCAGATCTGGATTCAAACTTTGCAACTATCTAGATATTTACTATATACCATTCTAACCATATATATAACCATGGTATACGAGCACCATGAGTCCTCAGCTCAGGAAAATCAAATTGCAAAGTGTTTAGGAGGTTCTGTCTACATACACTAATGAGTCATTATTGAAGACATAAAGTAGGGAAGTTAAGTCAGGGTAACCCATGAGTGGTTTTGCCATTCTCCCTCATGGTGGTGGTGATGCAATAGTGAAAATCTTCTCAGATACCAGGAGCTGCCCCCTCTCTCGACCTGCAGAAAGATTTTGTGTGCTCTCTGAGGGCTTTTCAAATTTGAAGTACAACCCTGAAAAAGTAACCTCATGCAACATGCTACGTGTTTGTTTTCCTTTTTCCCAGGTCTGATAGGGTATGTCTACATAGCAACTAGTCACTCATGGTTGGCCTGTGCGAGCTGACTCAGGCTCACAGGGCTCAGGCTGTGGGGCTGTTTCATTGGTGTATAGACGTCTGGGCCAGGCTGGAGCCTGGACTCTAGGACCCTGTGAGGGGGGGGACTCCGCGGATCAGCGCCACCCCTCCTTCCCTGCGCCTGCCTCCCGCCCGCCGTGAACAGCTGTTTCGCGGCATGCAGGAGGCTGGGGGTGGGGGGAAGAGAGGAGGAGCAAGGACATGGTGTGCTTGGAGGAGGGGGCAGAACTGGGTGGGAAGAGGCGGGGTGAGGTTGGGCCTTGAGAGCGGGGGCAGGGCCTGGGACAGAGCCGGGGGTTGAGCACCCCCCGGCACTTTGGAAAGTCGGCGCCTGTGGCTGAAACTGCTTCCAATTAGTTCCCTGCTCCCTGGCTCTTCCTCCAGGTGCAGCCTGTGGAATTAATTGGCCAGCCTGGCTACCATAACCCCTTTCAGTCTTGTGTGGGGTTGTCACCCCATCACACACCCTGAGCCCCACGAGCCTGAGTCAGCTGGCACGGGCCAGCCATGGGTTTTTCTTTGCTGTGTAGACATACACGTTCTATTGCTTTCTTTATGGGTAATACATATTTTGTAATGCAATTAGCAATGTGTATTCGTTGGAGGGGCTCTATTGTTGAACTCAGCTGGAGTCAGCCAAGCTAATTTGTCCCAGGTGACATAACTCCTCTTTTGCAGGCCAGTCAAAGAACTGTACTCTATACATAGATTTAACATGGCCCCGAAAGGGTGATCCAGACTTACAGTGAGTTTCCTTCATCTGGTCCTGCCATCAGATGGGGAGATCTGGATAGGTGCTGAGTTTCTTCCCCCCTTTCGTCTAACCCTCGGAGGGTGAGATCTGGACAGGAGAGGAGTTTTCTCTCTCTGCAGTTCTGCTGCTGAAAGGACTGGCAATCAATACAGGTTTGCCAAGTTAGTGCAGGACCCTAAAAAGGAACTCTTCACTTTTTGGGACCCAATTTGCATTGCTTGTACCTAATGTTAACTCTGCAGGCCAATACTCGAAAACTACATGGGGTACGAACACAAATCTATCACTTTTACTGCAGACCCAGTAAAAATGCCTGCTCCTTTGTGAAGCAAAAGCCAGAGCTAGAGAGAGTGCTAGGGAAGCAAACACTAAACCAAAGCAAGGGACTACATGCACAGTAAATAAAAGGCTTCTCTGAAGAATCTATTACCTAGAAAGAGGTTGTTGTTTTTTGAAAAGGAAAGTTTTCTTCTTCCCGCCAAAAATTATGCAACAGCAGGTCCACAGCGTGTCTGCCAGATGACCTGCTTGTCACATCCATAATTGCTTCCCATCTGGTGTCTGGAATACACAAAGCCTGGCCGTTTGCCAGAGCAAAATGACTCACAAACTGGCCCACTTCTGGTGAAGCAGGCCCTCCAGACATTACTGATCTGCTTATTTCCTTATGGCTACAGAGAACTTTTCATTCATTTGCAAATTGCAGTCAACTGATTTATAAAGCTATTCTGGACCAACGCTGGACACGCTTCCGACTAATGTGCCTAAGATATTTGCTATATGCTGCAGCCTGAAACACATCTGCATCCTTCCATATATTATACTGTTGCATAATATCACCACACACATTCAACTGAATATATAACTTACACTGATGAGCTCAGTAACATATTGCTGCAAACAAACGTTTGCAGTGTTCAGACAAGCAGACAGCAGGACTCTATCCTCCTTTCAAGACAGGGTCTATGTCTTGGAAAATCATCTCCTGCAGCACTGCTCATCCCACAGACCAGAGAGGAATGTTAAGCCCTAAGTGAAGAAGTATAAGAGAGAAAGAGTGTGTGTACGTACACATAGGTGCATTCAAAACTCCACTGATTCATGAGATCAAGTGCTTTATCAAATCTCAGCTGTTTCCCCTTTATTTCAACAGGAGTTTTAATGAAAAAACAAATACCAGTAATTAATAGGCATAATAATTCAGATAATTTAATATAACCCCTAACTACAAAAGTATCTTACGCACTTTACAATTAAACATAGGCTAAGGGTCTGATCCTGTAATGTGCTGAGCAGCATCCACTCAATAGAGGTAAGGTAGATGATGTTAATTTTATAGATCACCTATAAAATTTTGATCAAGTTATTTTAAATTCTGTCACCAATCCAATACCCTGTTCTCTCTTCCCATAACAGGTTTTTACTAATACCTACAATTACAGCATTTGGTACTCTCTAGTATTAAATATCACAATACACAACCCTTGATCAATGGGATAGGACACTTTAAGCCACTGATACACCCATCACAATCGTATCTAAAGGCAAGTCTACACTGCAAACTTAAATTGACCTAAATTACATCGACGTACAGCCACCGCAGTAATTGAGTCAGTTTTACACAGCCACACAACACTTGTGTCATCAGTGTGCGTCCTTACCAGGAGTGCTTGCACCAATTAAACTATCCATGCGAGGCATTGTGGGATGGTTTCTGAAAGGCAGCAACAGTCAACGTAAGCAAGGCAGTGTCTACACTGAGGCTGCATCGACCTCACTACATCAACTTAAGCGCTTCGCCTCTCATGGAGGTGCAGTTATTAAGTCGGCGTAGTGGGTGAGTTACATTGGTGGGAGCTACATTTTAGTGTAGATACTTACAGAGTTAGGTTGATGAAAGTTGCCTTATGTCAACCTCTCTCTGTAGTGTAGACCAGGCTTTTAACACCTAACAAAAATTCGTAACCAAAGACTCAAAAGCCCCCTGTGATGTAAGTAAATATCTCCCAGTTATCGATAGGGAAAGTGAGAGCCAGAAAGCTTAAGTGATTTGTCCAAGATCTCACAGGAAGTATGTGGCAGAGCAATTACTAGAACTCAGATCTTACTCCCAATCCTGTGCCTTATGACAGGAACATTCTTTCTCCCAGGGTCAGAAACAGAGGACACTCCATAGCCTCAGGGTATCAACACTAAAGACCCAGACAGTTTCAATGTTGCTCCTGCAAGCCATAGGCTCCAACAAATCCATCCCTCTGCAATTAGAGGCCATGTGGATACCATATACAGGAAGCCAGAAATCTGATATACAGTCTTTAAAAATAAACAGGCTTTAAAAAATAAACTTGAACAAAGTCTGGGATTACAAAGGCAGCTGGTGAAATAAATGTGGTATAGGGAACATAGTGAGTAGGCAGAAGCCTCTTTGCAGCTGCTTTATTATTGTTGGTGGATGTGCTGTCTATACTAGCTGCAGGCAACAGCTTATCTCTTTTGTAGCCTACAATAAAAGCAATACTATAAAAAATGTATGAGAGAGAGTTAATGGGGAGTAAAAATTGCAGTGGGAAGAAACGTTAATAGGTTTTTTTTTAATTGTATACAGGACATAAAAATATGTACCAAGAACCAAATCTTACCCTGTGTTGTGCAGATGCGTTAGCATGGGGAAGAAGCTACAGAAAGCCTATTATTACCTCCTACCGTCATGCAACGGCAAGGCAAGATTCCTGCTAACAGTGTAGGGAGAGGGACTGGTTACTACACGGACCAGTACACTACGGTGCCAAGACAATGAGATATATTGGCATACCTGATGGAGAAATAACTCTCTCAGTTTTCCTTACGTAGGCAAGGCTTCTGAGTTTGAGTCTATAGCAGAGTTTCTGTCCAAGAACAAGTTAACTGCTGGTCACTGGAATAAAAATGTGGCCCAATATTAAGAAGACAAAGCTCTACTTGCATCAATAAATTGGCTCATTGCATTGGTTGCAAGAGTCCGTCCCAGCACCACTCTATTTCTTTCCATAAATGCTCAGGTCTGCTTTGATCTACCTTCCATACTTGGCTGCTAGTGCTGGGTGATTCTGGTGAGTTATTCAGGGTGACTTAGTTAATGTGATTTTATGGATTATGGGTAAAACGGGCCAGCTACTGGAAACACATGTGGTCTCTGTTATGAAAAATGAAGGGGAGAAGTGAAGGCAGAAGACAAATATATTGTTTTGAGCCAAACAGAATTCAGATTAAAAGCCAAAGATGAAATTTTCTGATCTACACAGAGCTTTTAAAGGAGATACTGTGCAGACAGAAATACCCCAAACATGTCTTTAATAAACACTAGGGGTGAT